GTTACCCGGTCGACCACCACTGCCTCTGGTCGACCACCAGGTCCCTATGTTGCGCCTGACTGCCCTGGAAGGGCAGCGTCCAGCGTCCGGACGTGAACGTCCGGACGCTGGACGCGTCAAATCGGTTTGACGCTGGACGTTCGGGGAAAAAAATTTCGGGCAGCCCGAAAAAAAATTCTCCTGCACGAAATTGACTCGCGATTTCATTGCGACCAGAATTGACGATGAAATTGCCATCTGGGGGCTGCGTTTTTGACCTAAAAAACGCAACCCTCACTTATTCCCCCCCACACATTTGTACCCATCCACATCTACCTCTCCCAACCTGGTCGACCCCCAACTAAACTAGAGAACCAGATCTAGGTCGACATTACACAGATCTGTTTCTCTCGACATTGTCAAGCATTCCTTACACTAGAATTTGCCAGTCACGCTACTAAGCCTTCCTAGCTAAAATTAGGTTAAGGCGATTAAGATATCATGTCAACTCCTAGTCCCGCCGGTCATTCTGTTAGTGCCTCCACGCCTTCTAGAGATTTTCAGGATTTTCTGGATATTATGGAGTATTTATAACTATAGGTGACAAATGTTAACTTCTTGCATTCTAACCCCTGCGTATCCTTACTAGGCAGGTTTTTTTACCCCTGCCCGGAAAACATTTTTGCCCTGCCCGGACTAGCGTCAAGCGGGCGTCCAGGGCAGAGGGCACCGGGCGTCAAGCGTCTGGACGCCCCGTCCAGACGCCAGCGTCAAAAACGCCTGACGCGTCAGGCGCAACATAGCCAGGTCCCTCTGGTTGACCACCAGGTGCCCCTGGTTGACCACAGCTCCCGTCGAGCAACCCCCTGGTCGACGGAAGGGGTCCGTCGACCAGAACCATCAGCGGTTGTCGCCGAGCTTTCCTTGTCGACCGTTGCGCACTTGTCAGGTCGACGGACTGCTCCATCGACCTCCTGGTTGAACTGCAGGTCGACGGAGACCTCCCGGTCGAAATGCAAGTCCTGGTCGAAGGCCCACCCGTCGCACAGACCAGTCAGTTGCAGCTGTCGAGCTCCCTGGTCGACAGCAACACCACAGCGGTCTCCTGCAGCTCGACGAAGCCTGTTGAGCAGCTCTCCCACTGTGAACGATTGGCTGCTACTCTCGTACATCCGACCAAGTCGTCGGCGTTGCTCAAGCGAGGGCGGAGCCAACACTCCACTCCACGTCGGAAATGGTGCAATGGCAGGAGAGGTAGGAGGTGAGGGAGCTGGTGCAGGCGGAAGTTCAGGAGGCGCTTCAAAGTCATCCCACATAAGGGAGGGTGGTCCGGAGGGGGGGTCCCCTCCCGGGGTGGAGTAGAAGGGGCGAGTCTCATGAAAGACGACATCACAGCTTCGGACGAGTTGTTGAGTGGAGGTGTTGAGGAAGAGGTGGTCAGGGGAGTGGGCGTTATGCCCAAGGTAAATGCACGTTTGATTTTTGGGACCAAGCTTGCCACCTTGTCGCCGCCGAGCTTGGGGGGTTGAGGAGGACATAGGCGGTGCACCCCCAAACGCGAAGGGGGCGAGCAGTGGGTGTTTTCCCGAGCCAGAATGCGGTGGGAGTGGTGTCGGGGAGATGCGGATGGGGATAAAGATTGTAGAGGAGGGCGGTAAGGTAGAGGGCGTAACCCCAGAGCGAGAGTGGTGCGTGGGAGTTGCTGAGGAGACAGCGAGTGATTTGCACCAAAGTGTTATTACGGCTCCCCGCTATGCCGTTCTGCTGCGGGCTGTCAAGAAGGGTGAAATTTTGCAAAATGTTGAGAAGGCTTCAAGTTTGGTGTTGCAAAATTCACCACCACCATCCGAATGGAGGCGCTTGACCTTGGTGCCAAATGTGGAATGTACATGGTTAACCCATGCCATGATGGCCTTTGGAGCTTCAGCCTTTGTGTGGAGGAGGTGCACAAAGACGTAGCGAGTGTGGTCATGAACTATAAAAAAGAAATAGCGATAGCCACCTCGTGTGGCAACCTTGGCAAGGCCCCAGACGTCCATGTCCACTAGATCCAACAAGGCTACTGCTACTGAGGCTGAGCCAGGGTGGGGTTCTTTGTGTAGCTTGCTTTTGGTACAGTCAAGGCTCGTGGGAGCGGGCGAGTGAGGTGTGGAGGAAGTGAGGCTGGCAGGCTGAGAAGAAGCTTCTTGGAGGCCATGTCAGCAAGCGTGCGGAAGTTTGGGTGCCCAAGCCGATGGTGGTAGAGGACGGTCAGGTTAGAGAAAGTGCGACATGAGCATGGTGTGATAGCAGCCTGTGCTTGGATGGGTGACACCTATGGGATAGGTACACGCAGCGTGTAGAGGCCGCTGCTGTTGAGGGTGAAGCGAGCTAAGGCCTTGTTGGTGAGTGGGTCAATGATGTCACAATAGTCCTTGAATTCTGAGATTATGATCCAATAGATTGTGTCGTAGTGAGGGCACGCGCACATGTCAGTGACAGTGCCGGATGGGAATGCGGGGCATGGGACAGTGGACGAACCCTTGGCAAAATTGGTCAAGCTTAGATCAGCTCCCAAGAGAGGAATGCGTGTAGAGTAGGGTTTGAAGGAGAGTGTCTCCTTGAGCACTGTGTAAGTGGCACCGCTGTCGAGTGTGAATTTTATGTATTGTGGTTCTTGTGATGAGCCGATGTACTGGGAGCTTGCTTCATTAATCATGGCAGTGCCAGGGAACAGCAAGTTGATACGTACATGAGAAGGAGCATTGTTACTAGCACTAGCCGAAGCGAGGTCTTGGACCTCAACTAGGTTGGCCTTACGAGGGTGCATCCAGTTCGGCGGCTTTTTGTTGACTCCGTAGATGGCATATCATTCGTCGTCTTTCTCCTTGAAACACGTTGCGAGGGGGTGGTTGGTGCCAACACACACTTGTCCCTTGCGGTTGCCATACTTGACGGCGTAGGTGCATGGAGGGAAGCGGTTGCGCTGGAAGGGTGCCGATGCGACACTTGCTTGAGGCACGGGAGCACGGAGAGCGTAAGCCTTGGCTTGAGCCGTGGAGTCTTTCTCGGCAGAGAGGAGGGCGGAGGAGACCCTAGCAAAAGTGAGGTCTTCTGCCAACATCTTCCTCGTGATTTCGTATGCCGGGGTGAGGCCAACATGAAGGGCGGCTGCAAGAGCTTGTTCGGGGAAGACTATACCCAGCTCCTTGAGTTTGCCATGTTTAGTTTGCACCTTGGCAATGTAGTCGGCCATTCCCGAGCAATCCTCAAGGCGGACCTGGAACATGCTGGGAATGAGAATGACAACTTTGACCGCCGTCTTGTTCATGAAGCGATCATGGAGATACTTCCAAATGGCGTTGGAGGTGTGATAGTTGTGGAAAGTGTTGACAAGTTTGGGAGGAGTGGAGCCGATGAAGACGCTAATGATAACCGCATCGGCCTTCTCCCACTTGCGGTACTTGGCAGCAGAATCCTCGTACTCCTGGGTTGCCACAGCATCGAAGAGATCGAACGGCTCCTTGGGGACGGGGAGCTGTTTTCCCTTGCCATGATTGAGAAGAACGTCCTTGAGGTCAAGTCCACCCACTTCACAACTCAGGAGGTGCTTGTCAACCCCGTAGCTCCATGCCTTGAAGTTGGAGCTAGTGCCGTCGGCTAGTGATGGGGTTGGCGAGAGTGGCCAAGGCGAAGGCCATGACGAAGAACCCTTTAGGTCTCGCGTGAAGCACCGCTCTTAAGTCACCGATAGGAACTTGATGTTTAGGGTTTACGAAAGAGAATTTTGAGGTTTCGGGTTTCCGAATGAGCATTTGAAGGAAACGTCGATTTTAGACCTGTCGACTAACTGCTAACCCTGGTCCCCCCCCCGGCCCTGTCCCTCAACTTCGCGGCTTTGCTGCTACACGGCTGCTCGGCTCCACCTGTTCAGCTGCGGGGTGATAGAAGTGCCATAGCGGGGCGACGGGCGGCAGCCCGAAGATGACGCTGCAGTGCAACGGGCGGTAGCCCGACGTGAAGCTGCAGGGCGACGGGCGGTAGCCCGACGTGAAGCTGCAGGGCGACAGGCGGCAGCCCGACGTGAAGTGCCGCTGCAGGGTGACGGGCGGCAGCCCGACGTGAAGTGCCGCTGCAGGGCGATGGGCGGCAGCCTGAAGATTGACGAGATGAGAGAAATAGGGTTATGCCGAAGCGGGAAGAACAACGGGACAGAGCAGTAGTGATTCGGGGCGAATGGCGAGAGAACGCTAGTGACGGTTACTCTTAGCAAAGTGCAGAAACCGGTGCACCGTGACTGTGAGAAAGGTAGCGCGAGGGAGAATTTGCCCACGGGAGATGTCGCGAATCACGGCGACGAGGACAGCGCGGGAGAAATTCAGGCCGGGAAGATCGGTTCGATGACGAAACGTCGAGCGATGAGTGTTGAAGGTGGCTTCGCCTAAGAGTGTGGGAGAGGATTCCGCAAAGGTAAGAGGATCAAGATCCACCACATGTGCGGTTGAAGAGCTCTGATACCATGTCAGAACTTGAGCTTAGAATCCATGCATTAGTAATGAGCTCAAGGCTCTTTAAGTACATCGGAAATGTGCAAGGTAAGGATGGGGAGAGAATCGGGGGCAATCCTAGGGGATTGGGGGTAATCCCAAGGCAATCTCCAATTGGTGGGTTGGAGATTGCTTGGAGATCACATTTGGGTTTGGTTGGGATGTGAGTATACACCCAACCAAACACAAATTGCACGCTACACTAGGATACAAAAGTGCAAGTACAAAATGTGAGATTGAGGGCTAACACTGACAGAGGCAACAAACGTCCACATGCTCATGAGCTTACCGCATGGTTCTCTCTGCCCTTCTACAGGCTCCCCTTGAAGCTCCCCTTGAGTACTTGCACATTTGCCAGGGATTAGGGTTCACTCTGCTGTTCCACATTTTCTTCTTGAAGTGCCCTTCGCTCATAGTGGAAGAGCAGCAATTCTGCAGAATGGATCGAAACTGAAAATTCTTCCTGGAAAAACTCTTCACTCTGCTCGTCCTCAGGTTCCTCCAGCGCAACAACCTGAGTGGCACTTTTCCTCTCTGGATTGCAGAGATGTCCAGCATTGGATGGCTGTGAGTGCATTGGATGGCTGTGAGTGCATTGGATGGCTGTGAGTGAAAGTCGAGTAAACTTACCTACACCTCCAACTTATTTACACCTCCAACTCTGAGGTTGTGAGAGTGATGCTCTATGATGCTCCTCTCATCTGCTGCTCCTCTCATCTGCTGCTCCTCTCATCTGCTGCTCGACATGTACCACGTGCCAGCCGACCAGTCGAGCCCATCGTCTTGTCATGTTCCTCCATTGTCACGTTCCTTCGACATGTGTCTGCTCCTTCACGTTCGCCCATCCGCACATGTTGGAGTTGCTTTTGACGATTCTCAGAAGTTGCTGAACACAATCGCGCCGAACCTTCCATCATCTCGAGTGTCCTGCTGTGTGCAATCACGGATCCATTGCATCGCATTGAAATGCATCCATTGCATTGTGCTGCCTGCCCGCCTGGCTCCTTGCCAGGTACCTCAGTGACAACAACTTCTCTGGCCCAGTCCCTGCCTCTCTTGGAGGCTCTAAAGGCCTCATCTTTCTGTGAGTCACCTGCTGTGCACTGTGCTCTCATGTTGCGTGTGACCTGCTATCAGAACAAGAGACATCATCGTGGTCGGCATGCATCCCTTCACATAAGGGACATAATTTTATTCTCATCTCTTTCTCCACTGTTCTCTCATCATGCCTTGGCGTTTCCCTCTGCTGCACACGACACGATAGCCCTCTGCGCTCTTTCACCCCCTCCATCCACCATCCCTCTTCCATCCATCAGCGAACTGTCAGATTCGGGGCTCACTTGCCCGCCGAATGCGTCCAGTTGTGTCGTTCGGCAGGTCAACTACAGCGCCTTCTGCCAAGACTGCCGTGGCTTCTGTGCCACGTGCACAAGTGATCAGTGTGAGCTGCTTGGGGTGTCTGTACCATGTGCACAAGTGCCACGTTCAATATTTGTGATTTCTGGTGCTTCAATAGTTGTAATTCCGGTGCTTCAATACTTGTAATTCCGGTGCTTCAATACTTGTAATTCCGGTGCTTCAATACTTGTAATTCCGGTGCTTCAATACTTGTAAGGTGCTTCAATACTTGTAAGGTGCTTCAATACTTGTAATTCTGGTGCTTCAATACCTGTGATTCTGATGTCCTGGCGCATGTGTCCCTCCAAAGCAGCCCCACCACCATCACCAATCGCGGCCTCCCCTCTACTATCCCCATCACCCAATCAACCCATCTACCCCTCCCCTCCCTCCTCCTCGCCCTCCTCTTCCTCGCCCCCTTCCAACTCGCTCGATTCCTCCTCCCAATCCGGCCTGTCGGTGGGAGCGGTCATCGGCATTGTCACAGCAGCCCTGCTGCTCTTGCTTCTGCTGCTTGTCTCAGCTTGGTGGCTTGCCAGCCACTTCAAGATCTTCACAAAAGGTAAGGCTTTTTTACATGTTAGCCGTCTCTTCGAGGGAGCACAAATGAGTGAGAGCCACGTCAATTCTTTTTTAGTCACCTCAAAGGCAGCTTGTGTGAGAGCCACCTTAATTCTGACAGATTTCAGCAACACGCAGCATATCATCAACATACCTTTGTATAACGTAACTTGCAAAACTGCTGTGTTCCCGTATGTGCTGCTTCTCACAAAGCAGAAAACATATACATATATGCATATATATGTATATATATGTGTATATATTTCTGTTCTTTTTTCAATTGTGCCCTTCACAACACCATACTCCCTACAGACTCCTCCAGCCCGCGCTTAGGCAACACAACGACACCATGCCGGCGCTACTCCCTGGCCGTTGTGGCGCGCGCCACGGGCAACTGGTCCAAGGAGTGCCTGCTGGGGTCGGGCGCGTATGGAGACGTGTACCGCGGGGTGTGCCCCGACGATGGGTCCACGCTGTGGGCTGTGAAGCGCGCCAAAGTCATCACTGCTGACTTCCACCGAGAGGTGGGTCACGGGCAGCGAGGTGGGTCAACACCCGCACGACTACTTTTGGGGTGCCTTAAATGTAGGCTCCTTTGTGTGTGTGTGGAACAACACGGGGTGTGTGTGTGTGGAACCTATGTGGAGAAAGACGCGTCCTGCGTCTAGGACGCTTGCGTCCAGACGCAGCATCTTAGACGCAGGACGCTAGAGGAGGGCCTTTAGGACGCATGAAAAGACGCATGCCCGGGCAGGGAAAAAAAACCCCCCAATGTTATAGGGTATGGGAAGGGGGGGGAAACGACGATGCACACATTTGAGGCAAAATCGTCCCCTTCAACTTTTCAGGGTTTCGGGTTTACGAAGGAGAATTGTCTTGGTAAACCCTCTAGGGTGTTTTTGATGGTCGAAATGGGTTACGAGGGGTCGACATGACGCGAAATTGACAGTCGCGTCGAAATCGTTAAAGTCAATTTCGCGCTGGGGCAAAAAAAAAAAAATCCGGTCAGCCCGAAAAAAAAGCGGGGTGCGTCCTGCGTCTGGACGCGCGTCCTGCGTCTCTGCGTCTGGACGCTGCGTCCAGACGCAGGACGCAGCAGGACGCGTGCGTCTTTCTCCACATAGTGTGGAACCACTCGGGTTGTGTGTGTAGAACCACTCGGGGTATCTCCTGACTTGAGACGAGTAAGCGCGACTCGAGGAGAAAATGTTGGTGCCACAACTTCACAACCAATTCCAGTGGTTTTTGTTTTTTCCGGCCTATTTGCCGTCGGTTAGTCTCGTACAACTCTTCTGTGTTCCACATGTACCACACTGCTGACATAACAGTGACAATGTACTCGATGGCAATGTATGAGAAACCAAGCTGGTCATACGCATACACAAACACCTGGCGAGAAGTGCTGCATGCATCAATTAGGCCCTAGTTGACAGACACTGTATTTCTTCCAATCCTCTCAGCAATGCTCTTATCCAAAAGAAAGAAAGACAGACAGAAAGAAAGGAAGGAAGGAAGAAACCGATTTGGCTGGGCTCTATTTGTATCATTACGTCTGCTCCCCTCTGGTCTCTTGGCCTCACTTTAGTAACTCAGATGGTCACGAAGTTTTAGGCGCCTCAAAAGTCCTTCCTGTACCAATCTCTGTAATTCTCTGCACATGGTTTCACGCAACTGCCTCAGGTGCCCTTTGAGTCCACTCAAACGGCTTGCACTGCACCTCTCTGTTCCCATGCAGCTGTGTCTGGCAGCCATGTACTGTATCAATCCCTCCCTCTCTCTCTTCTCTTGGTCCAGCACAGGTGGCTCAGATGGCAACGAAGCATCATCCCAATCTGGTGCGCCTGCTGGGGTACGCTGTGGGAGGCCATGTGAGCACGCGCGTGGAGAACATTCTCGTCTACGAGTTCATTGCCAATGGCGACCTGCGGGGATGGATCGGCCCAGGTACTGTCTGGTCCTTTGAGTCGTCTCAGAAGTCACATTGCTGGGGTACTGTCTGGTCCTTTGAGTCGTCTCAGAAGTCACATTGCTGGGGTACTGTCTGGTCCTTTGAGTCGTCTCAGAAGTCACATTGCTGGGGTACTGTCTGGTCCTTTGAGTCGTCTCAGAAGTCACATTGCTGGGGTACTGTCTGGTCCTTTGAGTCGTCTCAGAAGTCACATTGCTGGGGTACTGTCTGGTCCTTTGAGTCGTCTCAGAAGTCACATTGCTGGGGTACTGTCTGGTCCTTTGAGTCGTCTCAGAAGTCACATTGCTGGGGTACTGTCTGGTCCTTTGAGTCGTCTCAGAAGTCACATTGCTGGGGTACTGTCTGGTCCTTTGAGTCGTCTCAGAAGTCACATTGCTGGGGTACTGTCTGGTCCTTTGAGTCGTCTCAGAAGTCACATTGCTGGGGTACTGTCTGGTCCTTTGAGTCGTCTCAGAAGTCACATTGCTGGGGTACGCTACACTGTGGGAGGCCATGTGAGCACGCGGGTGGAAAACGTTCTTGTCTATGAGTTCATCACCAATGGCGGGTGTACACCCAACCAAACATAAAGTGCAAAGTGCACTTAACTAGGATATAAAAATTACATTACAAAAGTGACATGAAGGGCTAACACTAACACCATGCACTTGCGTTTACCATGCATGCACTTCTGCCAACCATGCACTTGTGCCAACCATGCACTTGTGCCAACCATGCACTTGTGCCAGCCATGCACTTGTGCCAACCATACACTTGTGCCACCCATGCCCTTGTGTCATTAGTGCTAAAAAGAAAAAAAAAAAAAAAAAAAAAAAAAAACGAAAACGCACACACACACACACACACACACACCCACACCCACACCCACACACACACAAAACACACAGACACACAAAACACACAAATAAACATATACAAAAGCTTCAATGCTAGCGAATGCCAGCCAGCTCGAAGTTGGATGATCGAGCCGGGCAGATTGTAAGTTGCCGGCCAAACATGACAGTATCCGAAGGAGGACGGGCCAGCTCGGGCCGGGCCTGGCTCAAAGTACGCTGGGCCTGGCTAAGGGGGGCGGTCCCTTGCACTGCACTGCACAGAAGGAGCTGGCCCTTGGACAGAAGGAGCTGGCCCTTGGACAGAAGGAGCTGGCCCTTGGACAGAAGGAGCTGGCCCTTGGACAGAAGGAGCTGGTCCTTGGACAGAAGGAGCTGGCCCTTGGACAGACCTAATTGGCAGTAGCTAGCAACTTGGAAGCTTCATGGCATGCCTTTGTTGGTTTCAAAGTGCCAGGCACACTGATACCATCCTTGAGGTCTACCATACTACACTGCATTCCCAGATTCTCCCACAAGTTTGACTCTGCAGCAGCGGAGTGACTTTCTTCTTAGGTGTTGCTCATGGCTTCTTAGGTGTTGCTCATGGCTTCTTAGGTGTTGCTCATGGCTTCTTAGGTGTTGCTCATGCCTTCTTAGGTGTTGCTCATGGCTTCTTAGGTGTTGCTCATGGCTTCTTAGGTGTTGCTCATGGCTTCTTAGGTGTTGCTCATGGCTTCTTAGGTGTTGCTCATGGCTTCTTAGGTGTTGCTCATGGCTTCTTAGGTGTTGCTCATGGCTTCTTAGGTGTTGCTCATGGCTTCTTGGGTGTTGCTCATGCCTTCTTAGGTGTTGCTCATGGCTTCTTAGGTGTTGCTCATGGCTTCTTAGGTGTTGCTCATGCCTTCTTAGGTGTTGCTCATGGCTTCTTAGGTGTTGCTCATGGCTTCTTAGGTGTTGCTCATGGCTTCTTAGGTGTTGCTCATGCCTTCTTAGGTGTTGCTCATGCCTTCTTAGGTGTTGCTCATGGGTTCTTAGGTGTTTCTCATGGCTTCTTAGGTGTTGCTCATGGCTTCTTAGGTGTTGCTCATGGCTTCTTAGGTGTTGCTCATGCCTTCTTAGGTGTTGCTCATGCCTTCTTAGGTGTTGCTCATGGCTTCTTAGGTGTTGCTCATGGCTTCTTAGGTGTTGCTCATGGCTTCTTAGGTGTTGCTCATGGCTTCTTAGGTGTTGCTCATGGCTTCTTAGGTGTTGCTCATGGCTTCTTACGTGTTGCTCATGGCTTCTTAGGTGTTGCTCATGGCCTCTTAGGTGTTGCTCATGGCTTCTTAGGTGTTGCTCATGGCTTCTTAGGTGTTGCTCATGGCTTCTTAGGTGTTGCTCATGGCTTCTTGGGTGTTGCTCATGCCTTCTTAGGTGTTGCTCATGGCTTCTTAGGTGTTGCTCATGCCTTCTTAGGTGTTGCTCATGGCTTCTTAGGTGTTGCTCATGGCTTCTTAGGTGTTGCTCATGGCTTCTTAGGTGTTGCTCATGCCTTCTTAGGTGTTGCTCATGCCTTCTTAGGTGTTGCTCATGGGTTCTTAGGTGTTGCTCATGGGTTCTTAGGTGTTGCTCATGGCTTCTTAGGTGTTGCTCATGGCTTCTTAGGTGTTGCTCATGGCTTCTTAGGTGTTGCTCATGGCTTCTTAGGTGTTGCTCATGGCTTCTTAGGTGTTGCTCATGGCTTCTTAGGTGTTGCTCATGGCTTCTTAGGTGTTGCTCATGGCTTCTTACGTGTTGCTCATGGCTTCTTAGGTGTTGCTCATGGCTTCTTAGGTGTTGCTCATGGCTTCTTAGGTGTTGCTCATGGCTTCTTAGGTGTTGCTCATGTCTTCTGATTTCTTCTCCTCTGCAACGCAGCATCCCCAATGCTGCTGCCCCCAATACATCATTTCTCCATTGCTGCCTTGCCTCTGCTCTGCCATCTTCCAGAGGCGCCCATAATTTTGACTCTGCAGCAGCGGTTGGGCATTCTCCTGGGGGTGGCACGAGGGTTGGAGTATCTGCACAGCTTTGGCCTCGTGCACCGCGACATCAAGCCAGCCAACATCCTCCTTGATGCTCACATGCAGGTGGGCTCATCAAAGGCTGCCAATCCAAGGCACAGGTGTGGCAACTGGGCACAGGCACTCATGCAGGATATCACTTGGGGTGCAGGTGCAGTGGTAAGGTGCTACAGCCATCTTGAATCAGACCAATTCACCCTCCCAATCACATGATTCCATCCTGTCTAAATCCCATGAACCCCCATTTCGCCCCAATCCTCCCCCGCCGCTTGCCTTGCCTGCCTTTCCCGGCCTTCCCCAGGCGAAGGTGGCAGACTTTGGGCTTGTACACGTGGGGGAGGGCACGGCAACAACAGGGTTCACGCGAGTGCTGGGAACTGTGGGCTATGTGGACCCTGCTTACTCCCTCACGCACAACGCCACCACCACTGCTGACGTTTACAGGTGCGGTGCAGATTTGAGTCTGTTTTAAGTCAAGTCAGATGTGTGATTTGTGAATTCGACACCACTGACGTCACTGGTGTGTACATACAAAGTACACCCTTGAAGTGCAAATGTACAGTCAATGACACGTGTGAAGAAGTGAATGGATTGGAAATGAAGGTCAAACCAGAGCCTCTACTCTGCTTGATGCACGCTCAATGAAAGCATGCGATACAAAGAGTTGAGGGTCAATGCGCATTCCAACATCTACTAGGCTTCTAATCTTTTGTCATCTACCCCGACTTGCATTCTGTCCGCTCCTTGTGAGACAGCACTTGGCAAAGCATCTTTCCCATGTGACTCGAACCCTACAGTCTGTGTTACTCCTTTCTTTCTTGCCCCCTTGCTCCCGTGCTCCCTTGCTCCCTTGCTCCCTTGCTCCCTTGCTCCCTTGCTCCCTTGCTCCCTTTCTCCCTTGCTCCCTTGCTTCCTTCCGTCCTTGCTTCCTTGATTCCTTGCTTCTCTTCTTCCACATGTTGGTGCTTCCTTTGTTCACGAATCTGATCCGCGGTGTAGCTTTTTCATTCGCATCTTGGTGTTGCTCTCACGCAGAAAAGCCACAATCAATGTGATGGCTGTTGGCTGGTGACCATTTGGTGACCAAGAACCAACTTGACGTTAGCTATTCCTTTTCTGCTTATTCTCAAGCGTGTGTCGAGCTTGTTCTGCTTGTTCGCCGTGCAGCTTTGGCGTGCTCATGCTGGTGATGCTGTCGGGCAGAGGAGCCACCATCAGTGTGATGAGTGGCAGTGAGCCAGCCACCTGTGCCACCAACGAGCCAATCTCCATCTCCAAATGGGTGTGTGTGCCAATCTCCATTTCCAAATGGGTGTATGTGCCAATCTCCATTTCCAAATGGGTGTGTTTGCCAATCTCCATTTCCAAATGGGTGTGTTTGCCAATCTCCATTTCCAAATGGGTGTGTGTGCCAATCTCCATTTCCAAATGGGTGTGTGTGCCAATCTCCATTTCCAAATAGGTGTGTTTGCCAATCTCCATTTCCAAATGGGTGTGTGTGCCAATCTCCATTTCCAAATGGGTGTGTGTGCCAGTCGATTTCTGCCCCCGTCTGCCAATGTCTGCACTGTTCTTTCCTCTGCGCTCTAAACACAAATGCTTACGCTCGGATGTTGCAATCATCAGGGCTCCCTTCGCCTGTTGTGCCCACTGGATGTGTTTCCCGCCCGTCATGTTGTTTCCCGCCCGTCATGTTGTTTCTCGCCCGTCATGTTGTTTCCCGCCCGTCATGTTGTTTCCCGCCCGTCATGTTGTTTCCCGCCCGTCATGTTGTTTCCCGCCCGTCATGTTGTTTCCCGCCCGTCATGTTGTTTCCCGCCCGTCATGTTGTTTCCCGCCCGTCATGTTGTTTCCCGCCCGTCATGTTGTTTCCCGCCCGTCATTTTGTTTCCCGCCCGTCATGCTGTTTCCCGCCGGTCATGTTGTTTCCCGCCCGTCATGTTGTTTCCCGCCCATCATGTTGTTTCCCGCCCGTCATTTTGTTTCCCGCCCATCATGTTGTTTCCCGCCCGTCATGTTGTTTCCACCCTTGGTCATGCGCACCAACCCCCCCCCCCCCCCCCCCGTTATCATGTGTTTCCCTGCCTTATCATGTATTTCCCTGCCCTATCACGTCATTCCCTGCCCTATCATGTGTTTCCCTGCCCTCTCACGTGTTTCCCGCCCCCTATCATGTGTTTCCCGCCCCCTATCATGTGTTTCCCGCCCCCTATCATGTGTTTCCCGCCCCCTATCATGTATTTCCCTGCCCCCTATCATGTATTTCCCGCCCCCTATCATGTATTTCTCGCCCCCTATCATGTATTTTCCGCCCCCTATCAAGTATTCCCCGCCCCCTATCATGTATTTCCCGCCCCCTATCATGTATTTCCCACCCCCTATCATGTATTTCCCGCCCCCTATCATGTCTTTTCCGCCCCCTATCATGTCTTTTCCGCCCCCTATCATGTCTTTTCCACCCCCTATCAAGTGTTCCCTGCCCCTGTCATGCGCTTCCCGCCCCCTATCATGCCTGTCCCGCCCCAAATTCAAGGCAACTGACGTCATGGCGGAAGGGAAGGCTGCAGTCCTCAGGGATCCCCGCATGGAAGCACGTGAAGACATCGTCATGCGCCTTGCCCACCTCGCTGTCACCTGCACGGCCATGCCCACTGCCTCACGCCCCTCCATGTCCCGAGTTGCCCAACACTTGGAAGCTCTGCAAGAGGAGGCGGGAGGGGGCGATGAGAGAGCGAGAGCGGCAGCGAGGGTTGACGAGAAGCTGTCGAATCAGCGGCTACGAAGGAGCATGGAGGAGGATCTTGCGTTGCTGAATAAGCAAGTGAAGCACGAGGGTGAGTCAACGGTTTTCAAGGCACCGACAAGGTCGTCTTTTGAGGCGCCCCAAGAAGAGGATACGAAGGAGCATGGAGGATCGTGCCTTGCTGAATGAGCAAGTGATGCATGAGGGTGAAGCAACGGCTTCTTTTGCACAGACATAACGGGGGCAGGCCCTCAGAAGTCAGGAAAAAAACGCTGATTTGCCCTTGAAACACATTTTCTCAGGGTATTTTTTGGGCTCTAGGCTGATTGGGAAGTATTTTTTTCAATGGAAGGACTGATTTTTCAGGCATGTTTCTTGAACCAACACTGAAATTTCATGTATGTTTCTTGTACCAACACTGATTCGAAACAACACTATCGAACCGATTCTTGTTGGTGAAAATGTGTGGATTCATGGGATTGGCCGAAAAAATCGTGAAATTTCCGCCGTCAGCGTCAATCACGGGAAGGAATCTTCACTGCACATGGTGTCGTAGATGAATTTGGGCCTTTCTATTGGCGCATTAGGGCCATGTTCGCTAGTTGTCCCACTCATACAGCGGTTGGTGGAGGGCAGGTTCCTATGTACAATTTCGGAGAATGTTAAAGCCCACAAACTCGATATTGGAACACCGAACCTGCCCAGTGTGACTTGGCTACCGAACACTCAAAAAGCCAACTCTGATTGCGGGCGCAGAAACTGCACGAAATTTTTACTTCCCAGGCAAACTGGACTCGCATCACAAGGCTTAAAGCCCGTGTCGAGCCTTCCAAATCGTTATTGTGTACCGAACCTCTGGTGTGGAAGTTGTGCGCGCATCACTCATGCGTGCACAAAAACACTGAACTCTTTGTGCGCTGGGAAAATTCCACGAGCTTGCTCAACTGGCAAAATTTCACATAGTCTGTGCAAGCCCTATGCGTTCGTCGAGGGGGGAATGAAGTGGCGCACAACCAATAACGGGCATATCTCAACGCCCGTTTTGGGGTATTTTTTCGGTGGAATACTCACCCAAAAAACAATCCAACGGCTGACCAGTAAGACTGCCACATCTAGACTATCAGTTCGTGAAATTTTGACTTTGGAAGAGTGCCAGGGCAGTGTGTAGCAATATTTATTCGAGCATACGGAAAGAGAAAGTTCGTTATTTTGTCGGTTACGAGACTCTTTCTCGAGGTTGCGGGCTCTTTCTTACCTTCGAGGAATGCAGTACCTGTGCGGCAGTCGTGAATTGATTGTGCGCCAACAAAACGATACCTTGACGTGCTGTCTCGGAAATCTGGCAAGATGGTAAGGGATTGGGCGGGTCCTTGTAATTGCACTAACACTGATTTGAATGTCTTTTTTTTACACTAACACTGGATTTTCAGGGTTTTTTTTAACGGACCCTGACAAAACGTTTTTTTTCGAGGAAAACACTAACGAAAAAGCGTCCTCCAAAACCAATCTAAGGGCCTGAATGGGGGGCGCAATAGTTTATGTGTGACAGTTGGTGCTATTCTGATACCATTATTTGGTTCTTTATCAGTGTGTGTACCATATATGTCTCCAACTATAAGGCATGTGCGTTCTGCAAGACCATGGGTTGTGTCAGATCTATGCATTTATATGCTCTAGGCTGTAGTGGGGCACTTCTTATGGGGTACAGCCTAATTAGGCTTTGCATATACAAACCCTATACTACTGTCATTCTAGTCATTCTTCATATAATCTTAGGCATGAAGTTGTGTGATTGATTAGGTCAAGGGGGGGTTCAAGAAGAATGTCGAGAGAAATATTGTACCCCCTAGTGCTAACCCCCATGTAGCCTAGACAACCTAAACATAACATATAAATATAACTTGACACACCCCCATAGGCGAAATGGGGGATAGCCAGAGCAAGCAAAGGTCACAAGACCAGTCAAGAGAAGAAACAAAACACAGCTCAGGGTGGATCACAAAGTCACCACACACACTGAGCACAAGCAAGAGGCCACAAGGCCAGTTCACATGTAGAGATGTTTATGCAACAATAACACAGTGATCACTACCTAGCAAGAGCAAGCACGCAGGTATATATATATAGATCACAGAACAAGCAGAGTCTACAGCAAGTGCGGAAACGTAGGCACAAGGCCCAACAAAGTACAAAAGCGCTAATGATCACCAGACGGCAAGCGCCTTGGTGAATATATCAGCAGTGTTGGCCCGAGTGGCCACGTGCACAAGACGAAGCTGACCCCGCTACTGCAACTCTCGAGCTAGGAAGTAACGCAGAGCGATGTGCTTCGTTCTGTGCTCCAGTCTGTGCTCCTGACACAAGGCAATGGCGGCCTTGTCGTCGACGTACAGCACTGGAGGAGAACAAGGCCGCTCTCCCAGGTCGGTCAGCAGGTAGGTGAGCCAGCGTAACTCCTGTGCAGCCATGGCTGTGGCGTAGATCTCAGCCTCACAACTGGAGCTGAGAACTGAAGACGAGCGTGTAGAACGCCAAGAAACAGAGCCAGAGCCAAGGCTGAAGGTGTAACCCTGTGACGACCGCTGCGTAGCCTGGTCGTCAACCCAAGAAGCGTCTGAGTGCCCAGTGAGGACAACTGCGCTCCGCCCTCCAAGCACGAGCCCCATGCCCGATGTACTGCACAAGTAGCATAGTACCCTCGTAGCAGCATCCAAGTGCACCTTTCGGTGCTGACCAGGAGCCACGTAGCGAGCCAGAAGGCCAAGAGGGTACGCAAGGTCAGGACGAGTGCAGGTCATCAGGTACATGAGGCAGCCCACTAGCTCTGGGTAAGAACCACTCGGCTCTACGGACTCGTCCGAAGCTGGAGCTGAGAGCGAGTGACCTGTAGCCAGAGGAGTGGCCTGTGCCGAAGACCGGGTGAAGCCGAAGCGCTAAAGGACCTGCTGCACCATGTGTGACTGAGTCAGTGTGATGGTGCGGCGTGCTCTGTCCCGGGTGATCTCCAAGCCAAGGTAACTACGCAGCTCACCCAGGTCTGTGCACGTGTGTCTCTTCTGTAGCTCCGACTTCACCAGAGCGAGAGCCTCAGTGTCAGCAGTGGCAAAGACCAAGTCGTCGACGTACACGAGGATGTAGAACGGCGGCAGCGAAGTGTCGGTGCGCAGAAACAGCGACGGGTCAGCAGTCGACGGAGCAAACCCAAGAGCAGAAAGTGTAGTCCTTAGTGTGTCGTGCCACTCACGTGGCGCCTTGCAAAGACCGTAGACCGGCCGCCGGAGGCTCCACTGGGTACCGGGAGGGAACGACCCTGTGAAGCCAGGAGGGCGGCGCAGCCAGATCTCCTCGTGCAGACTGCCCTACAAGAAAGCTGTGCTGAAGTCAAGAGAGTGAAGCTCGTAGTCACGCTTAGCGGCAACGTGCAGCAGTACCCGAAGAGTGGTCATCTTCGGGGTGGGGGAGAAGGTCTGAAAGAAGTCTACTCCCTCACGCTGACTGAAACCTCGTGCAACGTAACGAGCCTTGAAGACAGGCGGAGAACCTGGTGGCCGCTTCACCCTAAAAATCCACATGCCACTGACGATGTTCGCCCCAGGAGGGGGAACCTCGTCGACGTAAGTGCCTGTGGACTTCCAGGATGCCATCTCTGCGTCCATGGCTGTCTGCCACTGAGAGGAGTACTCACCCGCGATCGCCTCAGCGTAAGAGCGCGGGGTCGGGATGTCTGGAGCATCCGGGTCTCCCTCACGGGCAAGCATCATGAACACGAGATGAGGTGCAGCGGCTGCAAGACACTCGAGGTCCTTCTGCCTATCCTCAAGGACGTCCGTGCCAAGAGCACACTCACCACCGACGAACGGAGGACAGACAGACTCAGACTCAGCAACAAGACTAGCGACGTAGTCTAGACGACAGGCAGCAGCAAAGTCAACAAGCTCAGAGACGAAGGCAGAGGCAGCAACAGACTCAAACGACGGGTCAGTGACAACTGTGGCTAGCAGACGCGTGACAGTAGAGTGAGCAGCACGGGTGCGGTCAGACTCAGGCTCAGGAACGGTAGGCAGAGATGACGCAGGAGGGGACGGCAGGGGAACACGCAGCGGAGGAGAGAAAGGACGACGGACGACGAGGTGGGTGCTGGAGACAGCTCGCAGACGCGAACGAGGAACACGACGACCGGAACGACCAGGACGGAAAGGGGAGACTAGGACACGACGCAGGCTCACGACGCTCAGCAAGGCCCCCAGTCTGCTCTGTGTACGGAGAAGGAGCAGGCACTGGTGAGCCAGGCTGTAACAGAAGACCAGTAGACGAAGGGAGACTAAGAACCTGGTGAAGCACAGAGTCAGGCGGTGGCTGAGACGACGGAGACGGAGGAGCAAAGAACAGGCGCGGCTGTGCAGTGCCACTAGCACCAGCAGCTCCAGTACCCCCAGCAGCTCCAGCACCTCCAGCAGCTCTAGAACCCTCAGTGCCAGCTCCTCCAGGACCAGCTCCACCAGCAGCAGCACCCTCAGCACCGGCACCTCCAGTCCTAGGGACTCCAGCCGCAGTGTCTCCAACAGCAGCACCTCCAGACCCAGTACCTCCAGCAGCAGCACCCTCAGGCTCAGCACCTCCAGCCCCAGCAGCTCCAGTACCTCCAGTACGAGCACCTCCGGGACCAGCACCACTCCCAGCTCCAGTGATGCCAGCAGAAGTACCTCTAGCGGCAGAGCCCCGAGCTCCAGAAGCGCGACCCTGACGGCGACCGTACCAGTCGTGCAGCTGCTGTGAGGTGAGAGGCACACGCGGACGAAGGCGGCTACTCCAAGGAGACCGCACAACAGCAGACTCAGAACCCTCAGCGCCAGCACCCGCAGCAGCTCCAGAACCTCCAGCGCCAGCACCCTCAGTAGCCCTAGAGCCTCCAGCTCCAGCACCCGCAGCAGCTCCAGAACCTCCAGCAGAAACAACTTCGGTAGCAGAGTCACCAGCTCGAGCGCCTCCCACAGCGGGTCCCCTAGCTCCAGCAGTGCGACCCTGTCAGCGTACCACTCACGCAGCTGCTGTGGGGAGAGAGGGAGTCGACGACGAGAGTGCAGCGGCGAGGTACCAGCGGAGCGACTACGGAGACGGCCGCCCCAGGGAGACTGCTCACCAGACGCCTCAGCGCCCCCAGGTGCAGCACCCCCGGACTCAGTACCCCC